TGAGTCACCCTTTGGTGGGCCATGTAGGGGTAAAATTTAGAGAAGGAGGTTGCCATTTCAACTTGACTTACCCCTTTGTGTGGGCAATGCAAGGGTAAAATTTTAAGAAAGATGTTGCATGGATAAAAAACAATTGTTGACTGGTTGCAGGTCCGGTGGCCGGCGTTGGGGGGGCGGTGACCGGGCCGGAGACCGGGGAGACCGGGCCGGAGACCGGGCCGCAGACGGGACCGGTGACCGGAGACCGGGCCGGAGATCGGGACGGAGACCGGACCGGTGACCGGAAAACAAAAAAAGTATATATTGACTTCAAGGGGATGAATATTGGCCAAAAAGAATCCAAGTTGCCAAACAAACACGCACACACTTCGTCTAAACAACAGAAACCAAACCACTTGAACTCGATCAGTCGAAGTAAACCGATCGAGATTCCGGCACTGAACGCCCTCGCATAAAGTCCGCTGCCTTCCAACCCCGTGCATTCCTCAAGTCCAGCCGAGCACCGGCGGCAATGAGGGCTGCCGCACCTTCGTATTGTGAGGTCAGCAAGGCCATCATCAATGCAGTGGCGCCTTCCACGTGGTAGAGCCTCTTCGTGGCGCTAGTGACCTTGTGAAACTTGTGCTGCAGGACTTTCAGCGTGTAGATCGCCCGGAAGCTTCGGGTACCTTGAAAGGCAGTAGCAAAGTTTTGGTCATTCACGTCGGCCTTCAAATCCACCAACCACTGCACCACCTCCGCGCTGCCGCCACAGCCATACATGGCAAACTGTAAGGCCCTCGTTGGATCCAGCGCGGGGACGTGGCCCGTTTGTTGGAGGAGCTCCTTCATGGAAGCTAATGCCCCGACATTGCCAGCAAAGGCCATGGCGGAGAAACCAAAGGTGTTTTGATCACGAGGACTGCAGCCTGCATCGCAAAGAATCCTCGGGTGTCCGTTTGAGAAGCACACTAGACAAGGAAGTGAATTCACTTTCGGGACTCATGTGGGTTCCTTCCAAAATGCAAGGCTCAAAGTCGAAAAGGGCGCGCCAGGCTCACAAAGGGATGCTTTTGGGGAGACGCTTCTGATGGCCCTTACATGTCTCCAGGCCATCCCTTTGTAAGCCCAAATGCTTGACTGTGAATCTGGATGGACTCCGCATTGTTTGTGAGTGCAGCACACCCCAAAGGATGGTAGACCGTTCCACCTCCCCTGACCGCGCTCTTGGCAGAGATCAACACTCGCGCAGCGTCCGTGTGCTGGAAGAGGCAGCAAATAGTGAGGGGAGTGCTCCTTGAATTTGCTCAGAAAGGCCCTTCCGGAGGCTTTGCCAAAAACACAAGAAATATCAAGAAACTAAGCACCATTGCAGCAGGTGGTGACATGATGGTCTTGAAAAGTTCCTAGAGAAAAAAACATATTCTCAAGAAAACAGAAAAGAACTTCAGCAAGACCAGGAGTCCCAATTTCAAGACCCAGAGCTTCGTGGCCTCTCTTAGTTCCGCAATTGGGATCCGCCTGCAGTGCTAATAAGTCTTGGACCAAGTATGGATCTCCCTTGAGCGCGGCGTAGTGTAAGGCTTGCCATCCATACCGGTCCTTCTCATGGATACTTCGGAAGCCATTCTGGTGACAAAAGTGCTTCACTGGCGTGGAGCTGGAGTCCTCCGTGTCTGGCACGAAGCCTCCAAGAGGATCACATTGGAAGCCTCGAAGCATGGCGGTCTGCCGGTTGAGCAATGCACGATATCCCGCCAGGTCCTGACTCTTCAAAAGCCTTTGCATCTTTCGCTTGATGGCCGATAAAAGGACTGGAGCCAGTTTTAAACGATCTTCCAACACTGTGAAAATGCCTTCACCAACAGGTCCGGATCCATTCAAAATGGATGCAGTTGCAGATGCGACTAGTTCCAGCTCAGTAGAGCTTTTCACGATCACCCAGGACTCATTGGTCGACAGTTCGCGGCAAATGCGCTCCAGTCGACACCATCCTCTCTCCTGCCAGGTGAATGGAGTGATTAACTTGGAGCGGCTAAGATCCTCCACGACAGGGACAAGCGCAAAAAAGAAGGAGCACTCGTCTACGTAAGCGGGGATGCTATCGATTGCATCCAGCAGTTTGCCCCTACCTGCTTCAGGGCCTTTATCCTCACTCTGTGGGCATGAGAAATAGTCATACCAAATAAACAGTGGTTCTGATTGAAGCTCAAATGTATGCAACAGCTTGGCCTTGGAATCTGCCACTTCTGAAATTGCATCCACAGGTATGGCAACCAGCTTCTCCATAGCATGCTTCAAGGCTTCCTGTAGGACTCGCAGTTGCTTGAAGTCCGGATCGGGATGATCAGCCGCAGCCCATTGGTGGGACACAAACGCTGCCTTCCCTTTGCTTCGATGAAACTTCACCAACCAACCTCTTTCCATCAACACTTCGTGGGGTTCAACCTGAGTCATTTCCAGCAAAGTGCTCAAAGGTACTGTGTACATGGGGAAATGCCACTGCACTGCGTCTCGTGACATCTCATTTGTCAGCGATCTGGCATACTCGGCCAGGGGTGTTGAGTTCAAAGCATTTTTACCACAGCAAGCCATGGCACAAAGTCCAAAACACACTGTGTAGCAAGTTTACACCCTCCCCGAAGCAATCATGGAACTGAAAAACCACCGGTTTGTAGAAGAAACAGTCTTCCAAAAGGCCATGTTCCACTTCCATGTTTGTAGAAAGGATGGTACCACTGCATCGGCCTGTTTTAGCAACCCTGTTGAACTGTTGGGATGGCTGTCTTTGGCTGTGAACGCTTGAGTCGTAGTGCTAAAGCCTGCTAAGCTATTGCCTCGCCGCAAGTCCGAGCAAACTGCCAAGGCCACAGGAAAGGTCACGAACGGCATGCATGCTCAAAAGTGTTGAACCAAAGCTTTCTGGAGGCTTGCCATGGGATTGTGAGAAACATGCATAGGAACCACTCACCCCATTGCAAACGGATTTTTGTCCTTGCCAGCAACGTCTGCAAACATCATGAACATTGTCCAAGCGCCCGTGTCAACTGTGGAAAATTGCACATTGCTGTGGATCTTGGAGCGCATGTATTTCAAAGTGACCCTAAAATAACAAAAGGGTGTAAAAGCCCAAACACTCCATATGCCGCCCCATTGCCCCCTCTGGCACCGCCCCTGGCCGTTTCTCGGCAGCCCTATGGCAGTCCCAAACGGGTCGTGTCTGGGAAGGACAAATGGATTGAGAACAGTTGGCCTGGAGCAGCTCCCCCCCATTTGGCGACCAAGCGCCCAGGTGTCCGACACCCCATCGAACGTGATGGAAGCGCGTTTGTCACCGATCAGTGCTAAGAGGCTGATATGGTTGGGACTCACCCGCGAATCCGTGGGGCCACCACCGATCAGCAAATCCAATGAGCAGCGCCAGTCGTTGGTGGTGGAACAGGCGTTCAGCAAACTGTTGATGCTGATCACATCATATGGCACTGCCCTGCGGAAGACACGACGTGCACGACAGGAGAAGGGGGTTACGTTCTCCTCTTTGTGCTTGGAACGGAGGCCTCCCAAACTGCACCAGCCTCGCTGAAGAATCCTATCCCTAGGCTTCCAAGACCACTTAAGACATGGTTGACATCAAGAACAATCAAAACAAAGGCGGTTCCAAGCCAAGGGCTATGGTAAATTATTACATGGGAAGACTAAAGGTTTCGCTGTCAAATGAAGGCTCATGTATATATATAGTTATAAATGGCTGTACTGTTAGATCCAAATTAGTATAATGGGAGGGAATAAAGTTATGTTTCGCCAAATTGATCCCACACCCTGAATAAATAGTTAAATGAGTGGAAATAGATGGAAATAGTAAAAAGTTGTTTCACCAATGTTTTTAAACAAGCGTTGATGTGTCTATTCTTCTGCTAGTGTTGCCCTTTAAAACCCTTGCTTGACTGGAACGACTACCTACCACTACTGCTGCTGCTGCTACTACTACTAATACTACTACTGAGTTTTGCTTGATTCACGGAACTCTGACCTGGAAACCTGTTTTTAAAAACCCTTATGAAAACTCATCGGTTTCATTGCGCCAAACAATTTTTCAAGGGGTAGAACACAAGCCCCGGGTAAGTGAATAATACGAATTGGGGTTAATAAGTAAACTTGGAGCCCTAGGAATACTAGTTACAATAGTGACTCTATATTGCTCTGCTATTGCCGCCCTTTAAATTCCTCGCTGAACTCTTCTGAGGCTTGATTGATTGATGGAACTCTGGCCTGAAAACCTCTTAACGCTCTTAACCCTTCTACTTCTACGACTACTACTACTACCACTACCACTACTACCACTACTACTACTTCTTCTTCTCCTCCTACCACCACCACCACCACTACTACCACCACCACTACGACCACCACCAATACTACTTATGGTTTTGTGGCGGTGCTTCTATTCAGACTCCCTCGATTGTTTTCTAGGGGGGGTTACTATTTAAGATCCAACATTACTGGTTCTTCATGGAGAGTGGCGGATCGCACTTCATCAAGTTCATCTGTCTCACTCCTGACTTTCCAGCACCATTTGATAAACACTTGATTGACCTAATGCCTGCAAACCGCTATTAAATCCTATTACAACCAACTCCCAATCGGTGATGCTCTAAAAGTAGAATGCAGTGTGGAACGGCCACACAACATCCCACTCAAAAAAGAAATACACGAAAAGACCATGGGAGACCCTGTTTTGTTTGCCCACGGAACATCCACACGACCTACTGATGAACTGACCGAAACGGGCTGGCACCAGCCACAGGCGAACCTCGCTCGCATGGTGTCCAAGATCTTCAAAGCCAAAGGCAAATTGGCACCAGTCCTTACTGTTTGCTTTCCAAGGCAGATTCGGAAGTGGTTCAGAAAACCAAACCAATCATCTCGATCTAGATAACCTCGGATGGCTCCAAGGTTGATTCACGGATGGTTCCGGTAGATAGGTGTTCATCTGCACATCTGCATGGCCTTCGCCAATCACCATGCCATTCATAAGCGGATCTTAACGGAACAGGTCACACACACACGCGCGCAGCACCAACCCCCACGGGGCAGCGCAGCTCGTTCGGCCTTGCGTCTCGCAGGCGCTCAGTGCGCAATTGAAGTTGATGGTGTTTGGTGCGAGGGCCTGGCCCATCATCGAGGCCAACAAGCTAATGGCGACCTGGCAGGAAGAATTTGCTGCTTGCGGCCCTTCCAGTTTGGGCACTCACAGGATCGTGGTCCAGTTGATGTTCGTCTACGTTCCGCTGGGCCCAGTCGGTGACCTATCAAGGGTGGAAGTGATCTGAATCCAATACTTAAGGAAAAGGCAGTTGAGTCAATGTGATTTTAAGGTCTCTAATTGTTTCTACTTGTGGACTCTTGATTGATAAAACCCCCACGTGAAAAGGTGTGTTCAATTCAACTGGGAGGTTTATTAAGGGTTTATTCATCAAGAGTCTATATTGTAGTTCGCCATATCGTGTTGGTAAATGCTCCACATACACATGACTGAAGTGTGTGGAGAATCTTGGGGATTTATAGCCCTGCACAGCCTAGCATGCAAAGAACTGACTCAAGCTCACAGGAAAATGACCGAAGGCCAAACACTTCATTGTTTAAAGGGAACATCTTAGAGGAAACCCTTGTTTTCACCAACAAAACGATCCGTTTCCTGTAGATGTTACTTCCCTGCAAACCAATTCTGGGAAACACTCATAAAGAACTCAAAGCTTGCTGGCACTTTTCGGAGCGGCCTTCCGATCGGAGCGGCCTTCGCGCGATGTCCGGTCTCACGTCGTGACGTAGTCACCGTTCATGGTGAGACGATCGGAATGCTATCGGTGGCATGGTCAACGTGAAGCTTCTACTCTCTACATCATCCGACGTGTAAGTCCATCTCAAACACCTCCCCAAACACCCACTCCCAGCCACAGTGAGAGGGAAAGAATTCCCAGTCCAGGCATTGAGCTCACAATGAACAAACAAGTCATGTAGATGTAGACTCTTCAAGGCATGGTCCAGCATGAGTCTAAAATGGACAAAAACACTTCAAAACCCAAACACCGCCCCCGGACCCGTCTGCTCGCGTACCGCTACCCGTGTGAAACTCAGGTAACGGTACTGTACTCCCTCGCGGCCTGCCAGTAGCTGCACTTCGAGCAGGTGCTCATGGCACTGCTGTAGCTCACAGCATTTGCCGGCCAACGCCTCCCCTGAGGCGCAAAGAGGCGGTGCGCTTCGGCGGGTCGTGGGTCTCTCGAAGCGGAGGCGACCTTCTGAGAACCTGCCCTCCCAACTACAGCGGGGGACCAAAGTGATGGAACTGGACGCTCGTGGTGTCAGATGGTCTTAGGGGTCCTCCAGTCCAAAGGTGAACGGGGAACTGGTGCATTCTGGGTCCAATACCTGCGCTGTACTCTTGCGCTGTTTCTGGTAGGGGCCTTGAACCTGGGTGTGTGGCTTGTCCTCTGAACAGGCTAGAATCAGAGCGGTTCTGCATACTTAAGCAAAGGTACATGATTCGTCATGAGAAATCTCCCTTTCAAGCATAAAAGGTCAAGTAGACCCGCCCCTTATGAAAATTCCACCCCCCCACCCTCTGATTCAAGTATGCTAGGTGCAAAGGTTTTTCTGAATCACCGACAACCTAGCCAAGAGGTTGCGCCTCAGAGAGTCTGGCAACGACAATTTGTCGTTGCCAGACCTGCAATTGGATCACTGGACTTCCAGATGGATTTATCTAAAATTCATGTAAAAGAAGCAACAGATCCAGCAATCCAACATGGGGTCTGGCAATGACAAAGTGTCGTTGCCACTGCATGCCATCTACGATATGGCTTCGTAGCTTCCGATGGCTGATCTGTGAGACATCAAAATTGGGTTCGAGCACAGGCCGTCCGAAAACATTAAATTGGAGGCCAAATGCTGGACATACTCTCCCTGGAACTAAAATGGAAGTCCAAAACCACCTGTTTGTAGTGGAACATGGTCTTCCAAGGGGCCATTCTCCACTTCCATGTTAGTTCCAGGGAGTGTATCTGGAAATGGGTGGCCTGGTGGCCTCTGGTTTTTCCGGAGCTCATCAGCGATGGCACTGGAAGGGGAAATCGATTGTGGATGATCAAGACCAACCATCCCAAATCGACTGGGATTCGATGTGCTTTGGGCCCATCGTGGAAGGATTCTGAGGAGAGCAGCCTCACACTCCCTGGAACTAACATGGAAGTGGACAGCACCTAATAGGACCCATTTCCCACACATCCACATCACGGAAGCCCGTTCGAAAGCCCAACAGCCACTCGCGAGCCGAAGTGAGAAAAACATAAAAACACCCAGAAAACAGGACACACACACATCCACACATCATCCTCACGGGCAAACCAAGCCGACTTTAAAGCAACCACACGTCGCTTCACGTTGCCAGCGACCTCGCCCCTGGAGAGCAGGTGTAGCGCCATCTGCCAGTGGCCGCCCTTCTCACAGGTGGCAATGCAGCTGCTGTAGCTCACCACGTTGGCACAACGAAGCTCCTGGCGACAGGTGGAGCTCCATTGCCGGTTCCAACGGCGGCTTTCCGGTTTGTGCACCACCCATGGATCATGAAGTTTGAAGAAACATCGTAGCAGATCGGTGGAACATGGGTGTGGGTCACGGCACATAACAACGAATCATCTAAAATGAACTATAATGAACCTTCAAAACGTTCCAACAACAACTCCAAAAGCTCCCCCCAACGAATCAGCCCCTGCCAGGAGTCGCAAAGGAGTGGTTTTTGGTCCCTGAGTGAGTGGAAGATGGGCACCCCTATCCTCCAATAGGCACCCCTTTGTGACTCCCTTTTTATACTCAAGGTGTTGATTCATTACCTGTGATGGTCTCTTCAAGAAATCCATCCCAGCTTGATGGAGCTCCCAGCTTCATCAGCTCCCTTGGTCCCTCCTCCATGACCTCCAAAAGCTTCAGGGCCATGTCCAGCTGCCCCACCGATGCGCAGGCGTTCAGCACAGCGTTGTAAGTGATGTCATTGGCGAACACCTGCAGGATCTTCTGCGTCTTTTTTGGTGTGCAAAAAGTGTGGCTTGGTGCTGTGCTTCTTGGGTGAAGGGACTTCAAGGTGGAACATCACAGCTTCATTCAAGGCGGACCTGGGAAAAGCTCCGACTATAGATTTCCTTCAGGACATTGTAATGCCCCCCTCCCGAACAAAAACACCAAACACAATCCCTTCACCTACTGTCCATTACTGTCCCCCTTCTTCTATAGTCACCTGGTTCATGACAACCCTGCTCTTCAGTGTTGGTCAACGCCACTCGCCTTTGAACGACATCCGCAGCGTGGCCGAGTGCGCCTTCTGGTCCTCCATGTGCGCCAAGAGCTCCAGTGCCACGTCCCAACGCCCGCTGAAGGTGACGGCGTCGATGGCGCTGCTGAAGCAAATCACATTGCCTTGGCGATGCTGATCCTTGGCTCGACCCCCGTCATACCGAACCTGAGAACTTTTAAAACCGAGCCCTATAGGGGAGACACCATCAACCAGAAAGCAGCTCCTGTTTCATAATTACAAAGATCTCGGAGCAATTCCCATGCCAAACAGATCAAATGGGAAAGTCCAATTCATTCCAATTCCAATGGCATAGTATCGCCTTCCAAGCTTCCAACTCCGTCAACATCTGCAGCGGAATCTGCCACTGCCCACCCTTCCGACAGGCATTGATGCAATGCCCTAAGCTTCGTTCAGTGGGAAAACACCTGGACGTCCTCGAGAGCTGCATCAACTCCAGGGCCAAGGGCCACCGGCCTCGGCACTCTCCGGAGGAATCGTTGGAGCAAAACAGAAGCTGCAACGCCAGGGGCCTAACAGATTCCCTGATGAAGCATCGATGAAGCATCCGAAGAAAGTTTGGAGAATGCGTGCATCAAAGGCCACAAAGAAATTGGAAGACGCCAACTATAGGGAACCAAATTGATCATTCCAAGGATTTTGTTCACCCTGGGGCATCCAAAGCTACGCACCGGTCTGATCATGAATCAATGAAAACGGCAAACCGATATATAAACTAGTCACATACGGCGCAATTGACGGCCAATGGCCAAAAGTCCAATCCGCTCCACATATATTTCTACAACTGGGAGAAAGCCTTATCTGAATCCTATCCAACCAGCCAGGACAAAGATGCCAAGTGCCCAATTGTTGAATACTAAAATACTATGGTTATACTTATACTTACATATTACTCATTGATATGATTTTAATATATATATATATATGTGTGTGGTCTATGTATACGGAATATATATATATATATATTATTGTATACTCTTTTCTCAGGTGGCGGCTGACAGAACGGGAACGCCTGAGAAAGCCCAAGGAATGCCCTGCCTTGGCCGCAACTGCTGTAGCTCACCACATTCGGCATCTCCATCTCGTCCAGCCGCCTTGGCCCGAACGTGTGGAGGAAACACAGCGGCCGCGGCACATGAGACCGCTTCGATCTATTTGGGGGCGCTGCATGGCGCTGCGATTCCAGATGTCTGATGGTTTTGTTTGGTGTTGGGGAGTGAAGTATTTTACAGTAACAAAAGGTGCATCACACATTGCCCAGATGGCGATTTGTCAAACGTTAACTTATCAGATCAGCTCAGTGACTGTAGTGCATGAGGCCATAAATCGACTTCATCAAGGGCTCGCATGCTACTGCCTTAGGTGAACCCTTGCATGCAGGGCTGATCTCGGACCAAATCAAGAGCATGTCGCTGAGTAATCTGATCATTACTCAGACTTATAACTATATAAACAAAAGTTGGCTAGCTAAGTCTCAAACATACCTGAAACATGGGAACGTGGCGACAGGGGCGGAGGTTCAAGAACAGTGCCAAGGATTTGATTTTCGTGGACATATGCCAATTGGCCACCGCTGGAGGTTGCACCGCTGCTTCCGCGCTTTTCCTGCTCTTCTTCTGAAGGCTCCGATTCGTTGCCAAATTTAGAGGGTACAAATACCTTCTGAGGAGGTAAATGCATGACGAATTCCTCCTTCGCCATCGACCCCAAAAAAGGACCTTCAATTGGAGATAATTGGAGTCTTTTCCACCAGTTAAGGTCTGTCTTCGATTGGTCACAAGTCGTGGTCGGAGCCGAGTTCAGGCCCCCTATTTACGTTTCAGAGGTTCCATAACATCTCACACCAATGTCCTTCCGTTGGGTGGTCTCTACGCCGTCCCCACTGGTTGTAGTACGAAGATCAAACCGGGTCTGGTGGCATCCGGTTTCACCACCGGACCTCGATGTCCCCTCGGTCCGAAGTGCTGAAGCTGATGACATCCGCGCTCACGTGGCACGAAGCCATGAGGTTACAAAGCTGCAGGGTGCTCCACCAGGTTAAGGAGGGGAGAAGTCCATTGAAGCTCCTGAGAAATGCACCAAAAAGCGATGTTCAGCTCGGTGAAAGAACTAAATTGGACGATGAAATGGCATTCTCAAGTGAAATCAACGGGTTTTACAACCACCTGACCTCAAAGGCTGACCTGGTTCCTTGGTGTTCCTTGAGACAACCTCAGTTTTGAGCACTCATCAGTTCGGAGCTGCGCCCCGTTCAGCCCAAAGCTCGAAGGGTTCAGCTCCAATCGACCGCGAAGGCTTTCCAAGATGTACAGCCCAACAATCCAGGCGCCTCGCCGCGGCGGGCGTCTACGGCACCAGGCTGTGGTAGAACAGGCGTTTTTGTGGCACCTCTGTGTTCTTCTCTTTCAACATGTTCACTGCTTGAATCATAGGTTTGCATAGTGTTTTTTCGCAGCGCTACACCCAAAAGAGCTAAAACAAACCGTGCTTCAGCATCGTTCAACTCTTCAAGAAGTGTGGCGGTCATCAGTGACTTGGTGCTGTGGCCAACTCTCCCCCCCCACAAAGCCTGCGAACTTGGTGGTGCTCGCGATGACGCTGTTGCACGTGATCACGTTGGGCACCTGGAGAGACATGGGCGACATGCGGCGACACGCATCCCAGTGTCCTGGGCAGCTGAATCTCCTGCCTTCATGAACAAACATCAAAAGAACCCTTGGTTTGGGGGGCTCCAACGGCCTCCTGAGAAGGTGTTCGGGGTAGGTGAGGGTTGGAGCCCTCGACACATACTCATGATCTGATTGGTTCTGCTGGACATATGGGACACTGACTTGACTATAGTGCAAAGTGGCACTCAATGACTGGAAAATTGACGGCACCACACTCCGAACGTCTGCTCAGGATGCCCAAGCATCCTTCGTCGAGCTGAACATCTCAACGGGTGGGTGGAAACCCATTCATGTTTCATCCCGACGGAATTCCCCCCCCCCCGTATCGGCGCGCCACGAGAAGTCGTGGATGATCACAAGCTGCGACCAGCTCTGTCGCTCCGAGAAAACCGTCTACGGTCTTCCTTTCGTGGCCATCCACGGAACCCTGTTGATTCCGGGGAGTGTTTCCTATGCCAAGGCACCAATCTATTCCACAGCATCTCCCACAAAGACCCGACAGCCGCACTCCACGCCGTTCTTCGCGTCTGCTCATGGATCACCCAGGCGGCCGCATCTGCGCTGCGCGAAGGCAGTGTGGCCAGGCCCGCTTCCTGGAACCAGGTTGGCGTGACGCTGTGGCCATGTACTACGAGAAATGTAGGCGAATAGGGGAATTGAAGTCGGGTTCCTGCCCCTACGGCTCCAGTCGTGCCTCCTGGTATGACTGGACCCTCCTGGCACCCACCCCAAACACATGCTGAGGAAGTACTTGGAGCTCTAGGGAGTACTTCTTGGCATACCCTTGATGTAGTTTCTCTTCGATGACGGACACTTCCACCTGACCACGGTCTACGCTCAGCGGAGCTCCAGCTTTTGACCGGAAGTGCACCATTTCACTCGCTAGTCGCTAGGCCTTCAGGCATCCTTCAGGCCGCTGCTGTCGGACCTCCTGTCCGGCTGTCTACAAAATGGTTTGTAGAATCTTATAGACTGATGTTCAGTTGTGTGGCATGTGTGACGTCAAAAACTCCAAGGAAAGTCTTTCGTAAGCGCAGGAGGTCCTGGGAGTGCGCATAAGAAATGGTGCACCAATTTCACTCAACAGTTCTGCGTTCCATTTACCCCAGACACTCCATGTATGCCATATATGCCTACATTGACCCCCCAAACCACCACAATTTATGGCAGTCCCATGGAGTGTCTGGGTATATATCATATGTCCAAGTCGAGAGTGTCTGCAGGCTTCAGCCTTCAGGCCGCTGCTGTCGGACCTCCTGGCAACTCTCACTAAATGGCTTGCATATATGTTCAATGTTCTGTTGTGTGACGTGCATCATCAATTCCCCTCAAAAACTACTTTTCGGAACTTTCGCAAGCGCAGAAGGTGGAGTGCTCCCGAAACATGGTACACCATGTCGCTTGGAGTTCCAAGCTCCGCCGTCCCCAAAACTGGACACCAACGTCCCCTTGTTTCTGGAAGTGATGGTGCTTGGAAGAGTTGGCTTGCTGCATCACCGGAATTGTGGGCGAGGGGGGGGTTCAGGCGGTTCAGGTCCATTGAGATCACGGTGTGGTAGGTGAGCCTCAAACCGGTCTGCCACTGCCCGTAGCCCCACAGGAACTCAAAGGTGACTTCCTCGTCCAGGTTCACCTCCAGGCTCTCATCAGCCTCATCCTCGTCATCCTCTTCTTCGGGTTCTTCCACGAAGAATGGTCCCATGATGACATCTTTTGAAGGCTTGCAGAACTTGGACACAAGCGTGCCCAAGCCCTCCTTATAAACAGCTGCCAGGCCCATGCAAGCGCAGGCCGCAGGGATCACAAGGCCCGAGCCTGGCAGCACGCTGTCAAGCCCGAGCATCCACCAACCACCGGCGACCCCCAGGGGCAGGAAGGCCAACATGTCACTGCAGTTCATCTCCGCCACCAAAAGCTGCGGCCCAGCACTACTCGCTTGGCGATCGCCTCCAAGTCCCTGGTGCTTGCCCGTTGATCGCAGGCCTCCAAGAGCTTGTCCGAGTTTTGCATCAGCAGGCACAGGCAAATCCGCCGAAGATCTCGAAAAGGGTCACTTTCACCTTGAAGAGCACCTGAATGAGTCTCTGAAAGTGTCCCATGTGCTGCGGCCGGGGATCCCAACCAAAGCTGAAGAAACTCCGCAACCACTGATCTACGATCTTCAAGGACTTTCTTCAAAGCCTCGTTGTCTCAGGGCGGCAAAGGTGACTGGGCAAAAATGCCGGTAGCTCCTCAGCACCTGACGGGCCTGCTCCTGACTGCGTTGCTTCCCATGAGTTTCGTCGTCAATCTCGGGCCGCAGCAAGCGCTTCCAATAGAATTTCTCTAACATGCGGATCAGCAATGTAAAGGTCTTCATCTCCGACTCCATCATGGCCAACAAATTTGAAGAGAAAATGATCAAATCCTTGTCATAATCAAGAAACTTGTACTTCTTATAGAGTGCAAGGTGTACTCGTCGAAGTTGATGGCGAGCACCGATGAAGGCGTAGTTGGGATGTTTCAGCTGAAAGTGGTGAGCTTCGCCTCCATAGACCTGGCCAATTGGGCCGTACAACGCCAGGGCGCGACCCAGAGTAATTTCCACATAGTTCCACTGGCACATCATGAGGGCCTACTCGGTCTCTCTCGCTTGTAGTCTGTGCAGGCTTCATGAAAACCGTAGGCTCTGTAGACCAAATCTGCCCAGCAAAACTCATGAGTGTTTTTTTGTGAGCTGCAGCGTTCCGGGACCTTGAACTTCTCCTGCAGCTTTCCTCCGACTTGCCCCTTCTTTTGACTTACAATGGTCTCAATGGAGTCCAGTCTTTCTCTCGATGGACTGCGCAAGCCATGTTGCCCAGCCACGGTTGCAGTTGGGTCTTCAGAATGTTTGTTGCCAACTTTGAAATGTATAGAGTACTAGGCCCTAGGCTACTGGTTTAGTGAACTAACCATTCCATGAGATAGATTGCACCATTCCATGAGATAGATTGCACCTTTGAATTCCAACACAAACTTCGAACATGAATAAACTTGAGCAGGAGTTGGCTGAGATTTGCAAAATGCCATCACCCCAAGGGTGTCCGAGCCAGGCGTTCAGAAAACATCGCAATCCGGTGACCAGGTGAACAATGGGACAATGCTGCGTAATCCTGTTTTCCCTCACCACAGAAAGTAGGAGTCGCAAAGGGCCAGTGGCGTCCATGAATACAATCCCTAGGGCTCCTGTCGTGCCATTCGTTTCGAAGGTGGGACTGAGGTGGGTGCCAGGAGGGTCCAGTCATACCGAACCTGAGGAGGTATGGCTGGAGGTTCTGGGAATACTGTGCACTTCATTTAGATAAACTTATGGGGTAACATCTGCACATCGGCACGTCCACGTCTTCAGCCCAGTGGCTTTCCTTGCTGTCCTTGCATCGCCACGCACGCTACGCTGCCGCATGGAGCGGCGCCCATGGCGGCGACGCGATGCTCCGCCAGGTGCCGGAGCCCTGGGCCCGGCACCGGGCAGCGCAGTGAATGACTCCAGTAATCCGCCAAGGCGAGGAGCCGTGCATCAAAATGGTACAGGCAGTTGACCAAGTCCTACCCAAAAACCATGCAATCACCCGGACAAATCCATGGGGGGGCTAGTGACTTGCAGGCGTGACATTTTGTTTCGAGCGCAACATGAACAGCTCAACATGAGGCGCAGAGTCTGATTAAGACATATAGATTTTTCGCAGATGTCCACATGTGTCCTGTATAAAGTTATCTTCCAGATTTTTGGAGGTTGAAGGGCTTGAGCACGAACCCCCTGCGGTGCGCTGTAGCACGAACCCAAAGCGCCAAGTCTGCACAGTTATGACAAAGGAGCTTCCATCAGCTAGCCTAGCAAGCCACTGATGTTGTATCCAATGTTCAGTCCAAGGTCCAAGTAATTAAGTGCTACATCGAAGCTGAACGAGTCAAAGTCCTCACCTACTCAATACAAAAAAAAGTAATCAAACATAACAAAGCCTGTTCTTGCCCATGCAACCAAGAGATTCAAAAGGTGCCATAAGGTACCCTTCTTAGGACCCGAGTGGTGTTTCTGATCCACCGATGCGGGCATCATCGTCCTCACCTTCTGCCACTTGGCAGGTTCGGTGGTCACCGGCGTTCCCAGCAAGACCACGTCGTCCACCACGTGCAACTCGCCCATGTCATAGAGCTCGCACCTCGTCGGGACGCGTTTCGTTCAACGCGCCACAAAGGCAGAAACACGCCTGGAAGTTGGGACTGAGGAGTGAGATCTTGGTGAAGTATCGACCCGGAAAGAAATAAGTGTGAGGATCCTTCAGCTATAGAATCCTATGGATTTAACAATAGATAGTCAGTTGGAAAAAAAATACCTTTAGCACATCCCAAACGAAGAGGCATAATCGTACTTGTAGTGTCTTTGAAGCTAGACTGTTTATTACTGTACGTCCATCTTAATCTTGTAATGTGCTTTAGTGGTGCTTCTCGAAGAGTGGGCAATCACCAAGGGACAGAAGCCAGCAACACAATATATGGTGTGGGCCTCTTTCTTCCCAGCGCTATACATGTCTCAAGTGGAGGCTCTCTTCTGAACCGTCTTTCTACCGGGCATCCGGGCAAGCAGTAGACCAAAAGCCGAGCACCTGAGAGCGGATTCCCAGGTCGCGGCGGAGCCACCCGAGCCGGTGAAAGGAGTTGTTCGGTGGCCTATCCGGGAAGAGCTCTGAGCCTATCCGGATGGCTTCACTTGGCATGTGCGGATTCATGATCTGAACACATGGTAATTGCTAGTACCAATGTATCACCCAACCATTGGCCGGTGACCTGCCCTTGTGGGCGGTGACCTACTGCACAAGTCGTTGATCAGCAGGGAAAAAAACAAATGCGCTCGTTTACGGCACATTGGGGGCGAACTGCATCGCCGGGCATATTCCGGTCTTACTTTCGACTCTTCCGGTCAACGAAATCGTTGTCGCGTCTGGCACTGGTTTTGGTTCTGCTCTTCCTATACTTTGACTGTTTACTCGAATGCGAAGGCCGCCACTTTTACAAGCTTTCTTAAGAATGCCATCTCCACGAAGACGGCTTTTTGAGTGCCCCGGGGAGTTTGCAGTCTTCAGGAAAGGTCCAAAAACTACTGTGCCCGGAGCCTCGAGGTATCAGCCAAAAGGAAGAGAACATTTTGGGTCTGTCCTATAATACCTGTACCAGTGGATATGATGGTTCAGTTGCAGGCCTTGTTCAAAAATAGTGATTTGCTTGTTTACTGACTGTTACAGGTAATAGGACCAACCCCAAGAACATATCTCGAAAAAAATAACGCCGCGGCGTTTTTAACATGCTTGCCAGCAACCCTACGAGGCGTCACCGGTCGACACCATCGACAAATGCTGGGCGACCCTGACCCATCGAGTGCCCAATCAAGGTCACAGGTCTCTGGCCCACCGTCTGCCTCGCGGCATCCACCGGATCCGGGCAGGGCGGGTATCAAGAGAGGAGTATGCCATGTAACCTGAACTAGGGCCGAAATCCCTGGGGTACCGAACCACACTGTTATGCAGGTTTGGAGGGTCCAAGTACCTTCCCTGCTGAGAAGGTACTTGGATCCCTACGGGGGTACCCATGGCATAGTCGAACTGATTGGTCCTTATAGAGGGGTCCCTGGGTCCCTCTGTTGGTGCTGCAGCCGGTGAAGCTGTTCTTATGTTGGCTGGGGACCATGGGAAGCCGAAGGAAATCGTGGGAAGCTGTGCTAGGAGGACCGCTGCCATTTCTCTGTAATGTTGGATCCTGATGAGTAAAAAGGGATTCCCCCCCTCCTCTAAAGAAATGGGAGCCAAAACAAATCTGGTTCCTGGGAGGATTCCTTTTGTATTTGATTGTAGTATTGATTTTCTTTTCAATTCACAGAGTATCACAGATTATAGTTCTTCATGTTCCTTTCTCAGGTTCTTTGTAGATATTCTCAGCAGTCCTTTTATACTGCTAAGAAGGGTACAAAGAAGGTTCACAGGTTCTCTGCGTTTTTAAAGAAGGACTTGAGAAACCTACAATTACCAAACCCTCAGCAAGCCAGCCATTGGGCTTAGTAGTATTAAGTTATTAAGACTATGTTTAATCTATTTTATATGTTTAGTGATGAAACACTTTGCACAATTGAGGACCCTTAAAACAGTTTTGGTATTTAGGATCAGGGGCCTTCCTGGTCTATTACCTTTACTGCCTTGAACATTTGCTTAGGAGCGACCTTTACATAACGCATCAATTAAGGAATGGGTTGATGGCTTTTGGAAGCTGTCAGTTTTGAAGAAGAACTAGAGAAACATACTCTCAGCAAACCAGTCATTAGCTTAGCAGTACTCACAGGGATCCGACAAATTTAGAAACCCTCCTTGTGTTTAATAAAACACAAAGGACCCTTGTAACTTGTGTATAGAACGAACATGGGTGTCATATATATAATTATGTTATGATTGAACATTTTAGCATTATAGAAGATCCCTTTACTAATCAGGATCCAACATGATATGGGTGTGCATTTCAATAGGGGGGCCCCCAACCACAACATGCGTTTTGGCCTGCGTATTTCCCTTCTTCCTGGGGGTCTTTGGGAGGTCTCCCCATTCAAATGCACACCCATATGGTTCTCTCTCCCAAGATCCGCAAGACACACGCCTTCTCTTTTCCCCAAAATTCAAACCCATGTGTTCCCCAATGTTCCCCATTTGCGTCGAGCCAAAACATACGTCCTCACGAGTCGCACTCCGTGAGCCAGGTCGTCTTCCCCGGTTCTTCCCCCATTCGGACCGATGTCGGCACGCCTGTCGGCCAGGACGTGAGCCAGGCACTTCCCACCGATGCGCGCACGCTCCACGCCCACCAGCCTTGTGGACCGGAGGGAACGGAGGTATTTACGGGAACGATGTGATGCATTGAGACTAGACTCATGCCTACATAGGTAGAATATGGAGATCCCCACGCCACTATCCTATCCACTATATATCTGTCCCTAGGGCTCCAGTCGTCCCTCCTCAGAAGGTATTTGGACCCTCCTGGCACCCACCCCAGTCCCACCTTCGAAACGAAGGTATGACTGGAGCCTTAGGGTTTATGCCTTATTCTCCCAATTCTTCCCCAGCCTTCAACCATTTGGCAACGAATCGGAGCCTTCACGTGAACGAAGCCTCTGCAGCCTTAGGGTGTATCAATATATACTTGGGGATCACGAAGTCCTTCCCGTTAGGAGTCGAAGAAAGCGCCGGGAAGTGGAAGACGGAGTCCAGCTAGCGGTACTTCGACCGGTCGTGGGGGAGAGTCGTGGGGAAGGGAATGAAGAGTCGAAGACCTTGCAATCTTGAAGGGCGAAGAAAACACAACACAACCAAAACACAAAACAGAGTCAGGCCATGCAATCCTTGAGGTTCCTTTTTTGGGGCACATTCTGAAAAATAAAAAACATCCCTGTCCCTGGCTACCGGTTGCAGGCCGACTCTGTCGCCAGTCTGGCACGTCTGGTCTGAGGCTCCCAGCCAGGCATTGTCCAGGTTCGCCATGGAGGACACGATCCACACCGGCCAAGCCACGGTAAGGGCCTAGGTGTGGCGATGTGTGGCGTTGTCTGCACATCGAAGCTGGGGGTTCCGATTGGGCAAACAACAAAACACTGCATTCATGTGTGTTTTGCATGCGTTTTGTGGAGCCTACCAGCCTAATTATATCATATAACCAGCACCTTCCAAGGGGCCACCAATGGAAGCCCCTACACCACTCTTCTGGACCTCCATTGGACATTCCCTTGAAGGTCCAGGAATGAATCATATGTTTGTTGCTTCACACCTCCGACCTCCGTGTTCTTTCCGCCTCCGACCTCCGGTCCAAAACACCAAGAACAGCTGTTCCCTCGAGCCGCTTCGCAGGAGCGAGAGCTCGCTCAGAACAGTCGTTCGCTCAGAACGCAGGGCCGAGAAGTGAACCCAAATGGATTTGCTGCTCCCCAGGAACCTAGTTAACACATACTCAGGGGATTTAACCATAGGGAAGCTGAAACAAACGTATCAAACTTCACCTGATCAGCTCACCTCTTACTTACCTCGCGGTCCCGTGGTCCGGAGGGGTCCTGCGAAGAAGAAAAAAGCAGACCCGTTTGGGTTTTGCAGGACCCGTTGGCATGGTCTTTGGTGGCAGTACCATGTTTGGCCAGCATGTATATATAGCAATGTAATTCTGCTCATGGTTGGCATGTTACGTAGATATATAAAGGGGAAACAAACACTTTATAATACATATTTTAACAAACTTCAGTGGGACCCTCCACGGTGCAGTCTTCAGCCAGCTCTTGGATGGCGCGAGGCGCGGTTTTGGTCGCTTCGGGCTCCCCCGACGGCCAGCGAACCGGCGACACCTGGAAGCGGGAGATGTTCATGTCGAGATGCTTTCAAGCAGAGCCAGTGTGGGATTGAAACGAGCTGCTAGATGCTGCTAGCACTAGCTATCAAGAAATCATCTACGCCACTCAAAGCACCTCCCTGACAAACTAAGTTCATTAAACGTAGGCTTCACAGGCCTACGCAACCGGTTCCTCAGTGTCACCATCCTCAAAAAAAGGGCTTGCTTTGCATGGTCCTTCAAGGAGCACTCAAAGTTCTCTCTCCTCAAGCGATCACCGCTGGGGTTTTCTCTACCAAACTACTCACAACCCATATACCCTCCCCACGTCCTGGCATCTCTACCCCCCATGGAGATACGTGCCGATATGCACGTGCACGTCGCCAAAAACACACATCAACATCTCCAAACCCACATCACCCCTGGGGGGGGGGCCGGTCTTGCCGCATGCCCGTCGCGCCGTACTTCCGAGAGCGCCGGACCCTGCCACGGCTCAGAGGCTCAGCGAACTCTGCTCGGCCGGGCCGCTTTTTCCTTCGCCCATCCGAGGTGAAACGTCATGGACTCCGGGGCTCCGGGCTGCCGAAGCCCGGGGGTGAATTGGAAGTCTTTCTAGGACCATAAACAATGTCACCCCCCAACAGCGAGTGTATGTTCAACCTCGACCATTACCTCATAGATCTTATGTTTTTGGGACTGGTTACTAGACTGGTCTATGTAATGCATTTGATTCATTTGATGTTTTTGCTGGGGTTGGCTTCACCACTTCAAGGTCTGCATCGGAATCACCTTCTGGGAACCAAACAAAAATCACGTACGGAGCGGTTACAGATCGCGGTTACCGGATCGCGGTTACCGGATCGCGGTGCTGATGTTGGTTGTGATCGCCCTTGCGGGGATGAGGAATCGTCCACATATACCTCCGCCTCCAAGCAGGTACGGGACCCCCCAACCAGCAGGGACGGGTGGGACCCGTGTCTCACATTGGAGAAGTCTCTCACTTCGCACAGGGAGGATCGTCCACGGGAGGATCATGTGGACTTGCTTTGAAATGAATAGGACAAAACCACTCCAAAACCACTCCGCTTGAAGAACATGTCCAATTCAAATGGGGGGGAGTGATTCGTACACAGTTGTTTTTGTATGTTTTTGTAATATTCATTCTAAGAGTCTACATGAGGGAATGGAGATCAGGACGTCCATCAAAGCGCTGCTCTTAAGTGCTAGAAGTCGCCCGTGAGCTCGCTGGATCCCTGGTGGAGCTCGGTTTGGGGGTTCACCTGGTGCAACTGATTGGCACAAGTCAATCCCCAGACACTCCATGTATGCCATATATATATGCCTACATTGGGGTGGTTTTGGGGGTCAATGTGGGCA